TTATTACTTACTAATCTTTACTGAACAATTTCACAGTTCTCACAAATCAAAGATTTTGCTGCTAAGTACAGCAGACATCTATCTCTCTCCCAACCCCTCAGGACCATTCTCAGAATCAAAGTGTTTTTTGAAATTTACAATACCTGCCAGAGATAGAGTACAAAGTAAGCAAGGTAAGTGAGGGCTTACTTGGGTTTACCAATCTGTAGTGAACAATTTCACTTTCTTTTTTTTCCCCACAAATCTATATAAAACTATTCACTACATATTAGCAAGTAAGCAAGTGTCTTGGTAGTATACTGCTGCTATAATAGAAACACCACAAATGGATGGCTTTAACCAATATTGATTTATTCTCTAACAATTTAGAGGCAAAAAGTCAGAGTTCAAAGTATCAACTTTAGGGGCTGGGTGAAAGCCTCTAACTTTGTACTTCAGCTCTGCCTCCTGTTCCAGGCCATCCAGAGCTGGAAGATTTTTCTGACTCATGCAACAACTGGCTCTTGAGGCTAACAAACCTGACATTGACAAGTAAAATGATATATCCCAAGATAGGCAGGTAACATGGCAGACCACTGGTTCAAGTCCAGGAACAATGCCAAGATTGGCAGACCACATGGCAGGTCAAAACTCAGCCAGATTCAGGGTCCAAACCAACCAAACACCAAACTCACTGCTGTTCAGTTGGATCTGACTCATAGCGACCCCTCCTTGGGTTTCTGCTTCTCTACAGAAGTAGAATGCTCAGGATTCTACTTGCTTCCGAGGAGTGGCTGGTGCATTGGAACCAGCAGCCTTCTGGTCAGCAGTCAAATGCCTTAGACACCAGCAGTGTCAAAAGCTAGCAACCTTTCGCAAAGCTTCGCCTTATGTCCTGGAAACAGGCCACGCCCCAAATGAAGCTCCCTTTCCATTGATAAATATCTTACAGCAGATTCTACGTGGAAGTGATTATAATCTCATCCTGGGCAACAACTACTACATCCACCTACCAAGCCGCTTGGAAATACAGTCCAGCCAATTTGACACACCACCTTAACTACCACATTTCATGCTTTGTCAACTTGGCACCCTAGAGAGATTTCCTTCATTGGATGACCCAATTCTTCTAGTTATCAGGCCCAATTCTCCTGAGTGGTGACCTCACCCCCTTGGCCTGGAAGGCCCTGTTCTAGTGGTAACCTGGGCATGGCAGCCCCACCCCATCAGATTTGGACAGCAGATCTGGCCCCATCCCACTGACACTCATGTATGGCAGGCCCACACTCCAGAACCAGTTGGTGAAAATCTGACCCTGAAACCTAGGAGACTGTGCTAGTTTCACCCTTCGACACCCCAGAGACCATAGTCCTACACTTTGAGAATGAGGGAGCTCTGCTTCATGTTGCCTTGGTCTCTTCAGCTTCTGTCAGTTAGTGCCTGAAGGTAACTCACGATACCAGGAAGCCTCCTGCCCCAAACACTCACCTTTCTCACTCTGTGGGCTGGCAAGCCCATAGTTACGAACCATGTGTGTCTCTTAGCTCTGCTGCCACCATCTCTCTGCCACTCTCTCTGTCAGATTCTCTTCTACAGTCTCAGAGCAGGGATCTCAAGTCCAAGGACACCCTCCCTCTGCTTGCACCTTCTAGGTATTTGTTAGAGCAGCACCCTGCCCTCTCAGTACCAAATTCTGTCTTGGTTCTCCAGTGCTGCTGTTAACAGACATAGCACAAGTGGGTGGCTTTAACAAACAGGAATTTGTTCTCTTACAGTTTAGGAGGCTAGAGGTCCAAATTCAAGTTCTGGCTCTAGGGGCTGGGTAAAGCCCCCTTGACTTGGGCTTCACCTCTGTCTCTTATTCCAGGGCCTCTGGAGTGGGAGAATTTTTATAACTCCCACAGCTTCGGGCTGCTGAGGGAGATGAACCCAAGGTTAGTGAGTAAAATGGCATAATCTCAAGATCAACAGGCGGAATGGCAGGCCAAGATTTAGCCAAATGCAGGATCCAGATGGACCAAAAAGCTAGAGGCCGTCCTCAAAACTGATCCTTGTCTACTGGAAGCAGGCCACACTTCAAAGGCAGCTACTTAGCTGCTGACAGCAGACTCCGCCACGGAAGTGATTACAGTCTCATTGTAGGGAATAACTACAACCAGCTACCCAGCCACTCAAAACTAAGGCTCAGCCAAGTTAACACAAAACCTTAACTACCACACCAAGTAAGCCTGTGCTTCCCTTGTTTATTGAGTAATCTGCCCCTGTTGCCATTTCAGTTGGTAACCTTTTATGGATAACAAAATGTGGCCAGAGACGGGTAACAGTTGAAATCTAATTAAAATTATTGTTTCTTAGTTGGGATGTTTATTTTTTGTATCTCAAATTAAAAAAGTAGTAGTTTAAAAGGTAAATCAAGTTAAAATGGTGTCAACATTGAAATATAGTGGGTATAAAGGCATGAGTGCAGAACCATGAAATAGTTTAATTTCCAAAATAAATAACAAGCCCATATATCTTAAGCATTATAGAGTTGCATTTCATAGTAATTCTTTTTTTATTCTTTCAACTTCATGTGAAGCATTATATTCTAAGTTTAGTTATATATGATAATAAAAAATAGATATCCAAATTTAATAAATTTGATCAAATTCAAAGAGTAAATCAGTGGTAGTGTTGAGCCCGGGTTAGGAAGGAGTTGGTCGGCGCGAGGAATTTGCCAACACATGACAATGCAAGTGCAAGAAGGAGAGTTTATTGCTAGCTCGAGCTAGGGTCCCTGCTCTCACCGATGCAGCGGCTTGGGCATATGACCCCGTACTCTTTTACTATCACATTTTTATAGGAAAAATATAGGGTGGAGTAGCACCAGGGCAAAGGAGTACAAATGATTGGTTGTTGCTAAGGGGTTTAGGGCAGGGGTCTGAGATGTTGGGGGACGTGTTGGAATCTCCCGGCTCCAAAGTCCAGTTAGGGAATTATTATCTAGGGAGGATGTGAAGCCCCGATGCGTGGGAGACTTGGAGGGGCCAGGTAAATCTCTGATACGTGCTGGAATCCGGAGGGTAGATAAAAGCCCTGAGGCATGGGACGTGTTAGAATCCCTGACACTAAAGACTCCTGGTTAAAGATCAGGCTTCACAGTAGAGCTGAGACAGCTATTTTCATACTCCTTAAAATACCATTCATTTCCTCCGGACTTACTTTTGTTGCCCTTTGGTGATAAAGACAGAAAGCATAATTTCCACTTCACCCCAATTATCCCCCTGTTCAATTCTTTACTTTCATCATCTCTTGCTTTGTTAGGAAAAGCTTTATTTTTATTTTTTTTTTTCCATAAAATGAATATATATGGTTTATACCATTAGGCCATTTAAATGGGGAAGTTTTATTTTCTTTTCCCTAAACCAAAAAAAAAAAAAAAAAGCTCACTTTGGTAGAGTTTATCCAACTCACAGCGGCCACCATCTGGTTTCTCAGGCAGTAAATCTTTATGATGCCCATCATCCTTTGGCTCAGCTGATGGGATTACACCGCAAACCTGATTAGCAATCAGATGCCTTAGGTACAATGCCACCATGGAAATACAAATTGGTAATACAATTTGTCAATTTCAAAATATTATCCTCACTTTGTGATTTTTGTCATATTATCTTGTTAAAATTTTTCATAAGTAAATTTTAAATTTGGCAACGTTTCTTTTTTCAAAACTTGCTGACATTATTTTGTTCATTGCAAAGCTTACTCAATTTTATCATCCTTGTTTTTCCTCTGCTCGTTCTCCTTCTCTGAACAATGTCTCTAAAATGACTGTAAGCCTGGCATTGCATTTACATGTTCCAGAACTATTTCTATATTGTAATTATCTGCCTTCTTATATGATTTTACTATCCTGTGCTTTCATTTTGAAATCGGCTCTGTTCCATAACACGTAATTTTTAAAACTCCTGAGAAAAAAGCATTTTATCAAATATTTGTCTACTTTCTCTAGGAAATCTTACTCAGAAATATCTTTTTCATGATCATTATAAGATGATTCCAGAAGGAAGATGGGGCAATCTACTTCCGTAGTGATACTGCCTCAGAAATCCAAGGAGGGTTCGCTATGAGTCGGGTCCGACTCGACAGCACATAACAACAACAACAACAATAAGATGATTCACTTTATACTTTTTTTTTTTTTTTTTCTTGTTTGCTTTAACTCTGCTGGTTGTTTGCTTGGGTGGTTGGTTCACTGGTTGGTTTTAAAACACTTCTAATATCTTTTTGTTATTTTTGTTGTTGTTGTTGTGATCTCATATTAGAAGGGAAGGGCTTTGGTTCCATGTCCAATAACTAGTCATTCCTATCAGTTATACACCGGTAGAGAAGGGTCCACACTTAAATTTTATAATTTGGTTTCTGAAGGTTTTAGGAAATGTTTGTAAATTCTTAACAATAAATAGGATAGCAGTGGATGTATGATCAGTATTCTGAGTAAATGATTTATCTCTCTTTTTCCTAGTTAACTTTTTATTTGGAGATCATGAGAGTGGACAATCAGAACCACTTTTTCCTGTATTATCTTGTGCTGAATTTTCCATTAGAGGATGTATAGGAGAAGATAGTAACAGAAAGTGAAAATTGATATATAAGTTTTAGACTTCATCTTCCTAATTACCACAAAACATGTGCTCTCATGTGGTGTTGAGACTGAATCTTAGTTTTTAAATATTATCATTAAAATGCTAGCATTATGATTCTTTGTTCGATATAACTTTATCTTCATTAGTATAAGAGAAACTACTTTTTATGCAGTGAATCCTTCCTACATCATCATGACACCTCACAAAATTAACTATGTTTCCAATTAAACTTTTTATAGTAAATTAGTATTTGACTAATAATTACATTAACTTCTAAATCTTATTTCCCACATTTAATGTTTAAATGTTAGCAATGGAAAACATAAAGTAGGAGGAGTTTAGAACATTTGATTTTTCATTTAGCCACTTTATTTTATAAAGTTGTTTAGGTGACAGGCTTCATTGGTTAATTGTGTGCTTCCATGGAAAACAACCTTGACACCAAACTTTCCTCATGACATTTTTCATCTCTGCATTTCTCAGGGTGTAGATTAAGGGATTGAACATAGGAGCAATGATAGTGTAAAATAATGCAAACACTTTATCCTCAGGAAATGTGGTAGGTGGTCTAAGATAGATAAAGATTGCAGGAGCGAAAAATAAAACCACTACAGTGATATGCGAGGTACAGGTAGACAAGGCTTTGCGTCTTCCCTCAGCTGAGTGATTTCTTAAGGTGAATAATATAACAACGTAGGAACCAAACAAGAGAACAAAAGTTGCCAACACAACCATTCCTGAATTAACAAGCACCAGAACACCAGTCATGTAGGTATCAGTGCAGGCAATCTTTAGCAATGGGAAGATATCACAAAAATAGTGATCAATTTCATTAGAACTACAAAAGGGTAACCAGATTGCCATAAATAATTGAGGAAAGGAATGGACAGCGCCACCAACCCAAGCAACTAAAACAAGATAATTACATCTTGTTCTGTTCATGATTATCATGTAGTGGAGAGGTTTGCAGATAGCAACATAACGGTCCAGGGCCATGGCAGTAAGAATGAAGATCTCAGTACTTCCAAAGAAGTGCATGGTAAATACCTGTAGCATGCAGTTATCATAGGAGATGGATTTTGTCCCCCGCAACAGATCAGTAATAAGTTTGGGTGTGACACTAGAAGTATAACAGATGTCCAGAGAGGCTAAGTGGCTGAGGAAGTAGTACATTGGTTGCTGAAAAAGGTAGCTGCTCAGAATAGAAACAAGGATCACAAGGTTTCCTATCAATAGGGAAACATAACAGAATAAGAATAGCACAAAGCAAAATGTTTGTATGTTTTTGTCATAAGAAAGTCCCAAAAGAATGAATTCTGAGATATTTCTCTGGCTTTCCATATATATATATCCCTTTGGTGTGTATTATCAATGAAAGAGTATCTGAAAATAAAGAAAACATGAATTTGAATGAAAAGTTAGCAGCATAGTAACAATAATATACAACATACCCAATATGGATTAGCATGCAATAATATGAATATTAAGTATTCTTTGTTTCTATAATTAAGCTGTTTTTTCTTTTATGTTGTCTCCTTTATTTTATAAATATATTGGGGAATACTTTTATACTAAAAATAATAGGATTCAGCATGTTTTACCAGGATACATAACCAATGTGCATAGAAAGAGCTGCCAGGAACTCAAGTGACAGACACATAGTAAATGCTCAGCAAAGATGAATTTCAGCAATTGTTATTACTTAAAATAATAAAGATATTTGAGGCAAATAATAATAATAATAATAATAATAATAATAATAATGACATCTTGCATTGGGAAAATCTGCTGCAAAAAACCTATTTTAATTCAATTTTACTAGTAAACATTGAAGAATATTTTAAATATTACCTTGTTCATGAAGAAAAAAAATATATATATATTTTATTTATGAGCATTTTACTTTAATAATAACAAATGTTTAATTGGTTGTTGTTATCATTAGGTCATTTTGAATCAGTTCTGAGTCATAGTGACCATATGCACAAAAGAACGAAACAATGCCCAGTCTTGTACCACACTCATAGTCATCACTACCTTTGATCTCACTATTGCAGCCACTGTGTCAATCCATCTCACTGAGGGTCTTCCTTTTTGTCAAAGACCCTCTGCTTTACCAAGCGTGATATCCTTCTCCAGGTAGTCCCACTGATAACATGTCCAAAATCCGTGAGACAGACTCACCGTCCTTGCTTCTAAGGAGCATTTTGGAAGTACTTGATCCAAGCAGGTTTGTTCATTCTTCTGGTAGTCCATAGTACATTCAGCATTCTTCACGGACACCACAATTCAAATGAATAAATTCTTCCTTGGTCTTCTTTATTCATTGTACAGCTTTCATGTCGTAGGGGGTGATTTAACAAATCTTGGGTCAGGCACAGTATAACAAAGTGACATCTTTGCTTTTGAACACTAAGGAGGTCTTTTGCTGTACATTTGGCTAATACAATTATGGTGTTTGATTTCTTAGCAACTGCTTCATGGGTGTTGATTGTGGATCCAAGTAAAATGAAATCTTTGACACCTTCAATATTTTCTGTTTGTCATAATATTACGTGTAGTCCAGATATGAGGATTTTTGTTTTCTTTATATTGAGGTTTAATCCATACTGAAGGTTATAGTCTTTGACCTTTATCAATAAGTGCTGCAAGGTTGATTTGCTTTCAGCAAGCTAGGTTATGTCTCCTGCATACTGCAGGCTGTTAATGAGTTTCCCTTCTCTTCTGCATAAAGTACAGCTTCTCAAGTTATTTGCTCAGCATACAGATTGAATAAGTATGGTGACAGGATACAACCCTGAAACAAAGCACACCTTTTCTGATTCTAAACCCCTTGTTCTGTTCAAAAGACTACTTCTTGGTCTGTGTACAGGTTCTACGTGAGCACAACTAAATGTTCTGGGATTGCCATTCTTTGCAATGTTATCCATAATCTCTTATGATCCACGTAGTCGAATGTTGTTCCATAGTCAGTCCAACACAGAGAAATATCTTTCTGGTATTCTTTGCTTTCAGCAAAGATTGATCTGACACCAGCACTGATATCCCTCATTCCATTTCCTCTTCTCAATCAGGCTTGAATTCCTGGCAGTTTCCTGTAGATGCACTGCTGCAACTGCTTTTGAAATGTCTTGAGCAAAGTTCTATTTGCTTGTTAATAATATTGTTAGATAATCTTTGTATCCTGTTGGATTACCTTTCTTTGGCATGAGCACAAATATGAATCTCTTCCAGTCAGTTGACCAGATAACTGTATTCCAAAGTTCTTGGCATAGGTGCATGAACACTAACAATATCACATTCATTTGTTTAATTTACTTATTATACATATATGTATATATTTTAAAAATATATTTTTTGCATATTTTTAAATATCTGTAAACTGATCAAAGAATTTAATTTCCTCGTTCCGGCATGGTCAGTCTATCTTGTCTTAATTATTTAAGTTGAGTATATGTTTAGTAAATTGAAATATATTTAAAATGCCAAAAAATAAAACTAAACTCACTGCCATAGAGTCAGATCTGACTTATAGTGACTCCTCCTTGAGCTTCTGAGGGGGTATCACTACAGAAGTAGATTGTCCAGTCTCCCTTCCAAGAAGGGGGTGGTGGGTTTGAACCGCCAGCTTTCTGGTTAGCAGTCAAATATTTTAGGCACTATGCCACCAGAGCTCCCATATTTAAAATACCTCAGCATAAATTGTAGATTTTAAGTATGGGTAGAATATGTTATTCTTTGTCATGTGAGTGAACATTACTCATGGGTTATGTTAAACCAAAGTGGGCTCTTTTACAGTAAAAAGGATACAGAAAAATAAGACATTTCCATTAAAAGTAAAAGGTGTGAAAAATAAAAGCAAATTCTTTCACTTTTTTTTACATCTCACAGGTTAGAACAAAACATGCAAAGTATACAGCCTTTCAAGCTTTGTGAAGACAAAGGAGAGATAAAGCCCTTAAATGGCCCATGCGTTTTTGAGTTGTGAATGTTCTATACACTCTTATACAAATGTAAAGTTTTTACATACATTCTAGACAACAGATATCTATAAAAAGGTTGTAACAAATTAAATTAAGACAGCCTAAGTCGTCATTTATACCATTTGTAGCACGAAAAATGGATGGAAGTTTGCCAATCACACACATTTTGATTAATCTTGAGACAATAACATGGGGGAAAGAAAATGCAGAGTAGAAAGAATTCATTTCCAAGGACTATTTTATACAGTTTTGAGGAATGAAAAGGCATTCAGCGGAGGTGAAGAATCTATTGCATACCTTCTACCTTTAGTCTTTCTCTAATATGGCAGTCATCAATGCTTTCCTTTCTCTATTTTTAAAAGACAGACTGTTTTGTAGCAAAGTTATTTAGAATCCATCAAAACTACTGCTGCATAAATCCAAAATCTACAATATTGATAGTCTTTGAAATCTTAGATAGCAAATAGATAACATGCATGGTATTTTTAAAATGGGACATACTGTGGGAAACTTTTTTTTTTTACTAATATTTATAGCTTTAATTTTACCAAAGAATATCCCAGTTTGTTCCTACGATATTTCACTAATAATATAAATCATCCTAACCTTCATTTTTCTAACAAAGATATACAATTTTAAAGCTCATACTATTCAGCACTTAGTGGTAACCTAATAGATACTAATATTTTTCACTTAGAAGCCATGGTGACATGGTTGTTAAGCACTCAGCTGCCCACTGAAATGCCAGAAGTTCAAAGCTACCAGCCATTCTGTGCAAAAAAGATGTGGCAGTCTCCTTCTGTAAGTAGCTACAACCTTGGAGACCCAAAAGGACTGTTCTATTCAAATCTATAAAGTGGCTACCAGACTTTGATCAAGTCAAGACCAATGGGTATTTGAGGGGTCCACTGAGCTATTTTATTTTTTTAATACAGATGCAAATTCCTACTTTTTAAGATATATCATGTAGATTTTCCAAATATATCTATTGAGCAAGACAAATTGATTTAAAGAAAATTATCATATTAGTAGGATGGTGAAAAATTTAAAGTAGAAGATCTAAACTCCTTCAAGAGAGTGCTGATAGCTAAAGGGTAAGAAGATTTTTGTGTGTAAGGTGATGAGAATATTTAAGAATTGACTGTCATGATGGCTACACATGATTATACTAAAAATCAGAGGACTGTACATGTTAAATGGGTGAATTATATGAAATCAGAACTTTTTCTCGGTAAAATTATTAAAATACAAAAAAAAAGAAAAAGATTGAAATCAAGAGGATCTAAGTAATTTCTCATAATGAGAAAGTAGCATTCTGTGGATACTAGAATTCATATATCCCAATCTCCCTCAATACTGTATCCCATTCCTAGGAGCCAACTGAGATATGGGTCAGGGACATGAGTGTCCTTGACAAGAGGAGTAAAAATAACTATTTTGAATCTTTATCAGCAACAAAGAATATTTAAGTAGAGAGGTTATCAGGTCACGCAAACATACTTGTACATGTTTCTAAGTTATATTGTCATTATTTTCCTTTAGTGTTACAAAAATGGAATATTTTTCAGTTAAGATATTTGCTTGTTTTCTAGTTTATCGTAAGTGTTTAAAATAGCTCTCAAAATCCGTGCTGAATGGGAACATGCTATCATGATCCCTATTATTAGCAGAAGTACTGGGGACTGTAAGACAATTCATGTGAGAAAGAAGCAGTGCCATAAAAGCAAATCATATTTCTTGCTCATATGGATAGGAAGGAAAATGTCTATAGACAAAGTGAAACCATAATTGAAGAAAGATGTACTAGAGGCCACTTTTGTGTAATTGCTTAGAACAGTGGCAACGCAGGAAGTAATAGAAAGGTTAAGGTATACAATATCTTACCCGGTAAGAATCTTAAGCTAACTGCTTAACTTCTTTATTCTTCATTTTCCTTATATATGCAATAGAGATATCAATAAATTCTTCATAAATATAATGAGCAATTCACGATGTAGTATGAAATACTTCAGTGTCATACACGCTGGAGACCACACATTTTATTTTCCTTTTCCTTCATTTCCTGCTTGAGTGAGGAGTTAGTATTCAAACTTCTTAAATTGATATGCACACATATATAGCAAGTTAAATAAAGAAATAAACACAGTAAACAAAAGGGACATCATAAATTTAGTGAGTTACTGATCAATTAAAATATCAGTTTGCACAAGTCATGAGTTAAAATAAATTACTCTCATGATAGGTTGGCTAGCTTAGAATATTTCTTAAAACTAATCACTAACAGTTTTTCCTTGCATTAAATAAAGATATAGTCCAAAGAGCACTTTATTTCCTTGGTAGTACTGAATAAAAAACTTT